CGCGAGAAGGTCCGGACCTGGCCAAAAGGACAGTTCGGGACTTGGGGGTAGAGGGGTGCAGAGACGCAGGCAGCATTGACTAGAAACCCTGAAACCCCAAACCCTCTCCCCGCAACAAATCCCACAGAAAGCCCGGAAGCATGGCGCACACACAGCCCTACCTCCACGCACAGTCAAGACTCCTACTGTTACTACTACTACTACTACTACTACTACTACTACTACTACCACGACGACAACGACAACGACTACTAGTACAACTAATACTACTACTACGATTGCTACGACTGCTACGACTACCACTACTACTACTACTACTACCACTACTACTACTAATACTACTACTACTCCTACTACTACACTACTAGTATTACTAGCACCACTACACTACTACTACTACTACTACTACTACTACTACTACTAGTACTATTAAAATTAATACTACTACTACTACTACTATTACTACTATTATTGTTACTACTACTACTACTACTACTACTACTACTACTACTAATACTATTACTAATACTATTACTACTACTATTACTACTACTACTACTACTACTACTACTACTACTACTACTATTACTATTACTACTACTAGAACTACTACGACGACGACGACAACTACTACTACTACTACTATTACTGCTACTACTAGTACTACTACTACTACTACTACTACTACTATGACTAATAATAATAATACGACAACACGACTACTACTCCCACCACCACCACCACCACGACGACTACTACTACTATTATTACTACTACTACTACTACTACTACGACTACTACTACTACTACTACTACGATTACGACTACTACTACTACGATTACGACTACGGTTCAAGCTTCCGAGCCTTAGGCCCATAATCATAATATATTACAGTATCATACTAGTGTAATCTCGTACGATATCGTATCATAAGGCAATAGTATAGTTTAGTTCCTCAAGCTCCAACACCCTAGACCATCCTGATTCATTAACTCTGGAGCCCTTTAAACCCCAAACCCCTCAACAGTTGGAAAGCTTTGCAGAATATAGGGGCCTTAATGATTAGAATAGGGTTTTGGGGCCCATGATACTGTACTTATAGCACGGAACACCCAAAATAGTATTAGTAATTATTTAGGCCCCTATATTAGACATGGCCATAACACCTCGTGCATTCTGGCCCATGATGCCCGAAGCTGAAGATACAGAGGAACTTCCGGCGGATCCAAGCTTTTCAAAAGATTATTGTCCTCTTCCTGTAGGATATGGAGCCAGCCATGCGTCAAGCAAGCTTGTGGAGGCTTGCTGCAAAGATGAAGTGTAAACTGGCTGTTGAGGTAGACCCTAAACCCTAAACCCTAAAACCGAATAGTTCAGGGTACCCAAAACCCTAAACCCTAAAACCGAATAGCTCAGGGTCGGGAGGCGCTTCCCTCGACAAACATACGGATGACAGCAGACCCCTCTCTGAACACCCTTGAGCATGCGCGGGTACGAAAGCTTAAGTCTACCGGACGGTTTAGGGTTTAGGGTTTAGGGTGTAGGGTTTAGGGTCGAAACAAGACTAATTTGTAGTCATAGCCACACTTGCAACAGGTGCAGCAGTACTGAAAGCAACCGGAGTGATGATAGCCAGACCACTAACAGCAGCAACACCAGCCAGAATCTATTAGCAGAGGGGCGTAACAATCTAGAATAGGGTCTCGGCGATATTGTATAGTACAGTTGCATTCAGGAGCCCTAAGTAATAATAGTTGTAATTACTCAGGCTTGTATATGGGTGGTCCTCTAAATCAGGGTCCCTTTGTGGGTCCCCAATATAGTACGGCACCCTTATAAAAAAGGACCCCCATCAAAGGGACCCTAATTTAGAGAACTACCCACACAGAACCCTAGTAGAAACCCTTATAGATCCCTTTACGGAACCTTAAAAAGGGACCCAAAGGGACCCTAATTTAGAGAACTACCCACACAGAACCCTAGTAGAAACCCTTATAGATCCCTTTAAGGAACCTTAAAAAGGGACCCAAAGGGACCCTAATTTAGAGACCTACCCACACAGAACCCTAGTAGAAACCCTTATAGATCCCTTTAAGGAACCTTAAAAAGGGACCCAAAGGGACCCTAATTTAGAGACCCTAGTAGAAAGCCTTATAGATCCCTTTAAGGAACCTTAAAAAGGGACCCAAAGGGACCCTAATTTAGAGACCTACCTATATTAAAAGCTCGTCAGGCCCCAGCAGAAGCCATCGCCAAGGAGATGGGTGCAGCCTGCAGGGCCCAAGGGGATGAAAATTGGGCTCCGAGGTGTCGAGACGGTTCTGGGTTTAGGGTTTCGGGTTTAGGGTTTAGGGTTTAGGGTTTAGGGTTATAAAGGTTTAGGGTTTAGGGTTTAGGGATATAGGGTTTCGGGCTTTACGGTTTAGGGTTTAGGGTCATGGTACAGTTGTAACCAGGAGCCGTAATACCATAAAGTTTGGTACCCGTGTTTCCTTATGACTACTATGATAAGGAGCAAGCCCTATAGAGCAAAGTACCAGTAATACTGTGCAGAGAACTACGGCTCCTATGGTCGGCTTTGGGATGAGGGCTTCTTTTCGGGGCTCGAGCAGCAAGTATTCAGAATTCCTGAGCTGGATTTCGGACAAAATGCACCTAGAAAATTCGAAAACCCGAGACCCGGGGCAATGGACCCTAAACCATAGGCCCTAAACGCCCTAAACCCTGACCCCTAACACCCTAGACCCAAAAGCCTAAACCGGTTTACCACAACGAGGAATTTAACTACTCAACAACATGTCAGCACAAAGAACAGTGTGATCACCCACTGGTCATGCATGATTGCAGAGCAATCAGCAGAGAGATGCGCAGAGACTTGTCTAGACAGTCCGGGCAACTTACAAGAGTACGACTTGCAAAATCTGCGCGAGAGCTGTGTACAACGAGGCGGTGCTTGTACAAAGCCCTCAATCAACCCTCAGCCAAATCAACATGAGCAATGTCGAAGCCTGAATAACTACCAAGACTATTCCATAAGTTCGTACGTACTGCGAGAACCATAGTACCAGATACCTCAAAACCGTATTCTGATTCTCGACATTACACTCGACGCCCTTGCTCAACCCTCTTGACCCACCTCGAAGACTGGCGAACCCCTCATTCCCACGGCCCTAAATCCAGACTCCGAAACCCTAAACCCTGAAGCCCCGTGGCCCTAAATCCCAAAAACATCGGAACTCCAAAATCCTACGTCCCACCCTAAACCCTAAACCCTAAACCCTAACCCTAAACCCTAAACCCTAAACCCTAAACCCTAAACGCCTAAACCCTAAACCCTAAACCCTAAACCCTAAGGGCCGAAGGGAGCTATGAGGATCCCTGCCCGGAAATCCGTGGAAGAAGCCACAGCTCTCTGAGATGCGGACGACCGTAAAGGCAGTCACGGTGTCTGCCTCAGTGATATCTCCTAAACACCCTGAAAACCCTGAACAACCTAAAAACCCCAAAAAACCCTAAAACCGCTAAACAACGCAAACAACCCCAAAACACAGAAACCACTAAAAGCCCCAACAACACCCCAAACCCTAGAAACGACTGGTTTCGGGGCTCCAGGCCACTGGGCCTCGAGGTTGGCTGTTGATCTTTGGGGTCCTTGTAGTTGTGGTTCCAAACAGTTAGGGCTTAGGGTTTAGGGTTTAGGGTTTAGGGTTTAGGGGCTTAGGGTTTAGGGTCAATCGGAAGGGTTCCTATGAGAGTATTGCCAAGCGTGCAGATGCACCAGCACTTGGCGAGAGGGTTCGGTAAACCCTAAACCCTAAACCCTAAACCCTAAACCCTAAACCCTACACCGGGAAATGTTTCGGGGTTGCTTCGGGGCTGGGCGTTCAGGACTTGGGGTTTGGTGCCACTATAACGAATGTGGGAGTTTACGAAAACAAGGGGTACGTTGGTAGGGTTATAAGGATCCTGCTTTTTAGGGTACTATATCAGGGTCCCCTATTTTCGGAAACCCCAATATGGTAGTCTGGTCCAGTCTGGTTATTGTGTTCTCGTCGCGCTTTAAATTGAGCCGCACTGCGAGACAAGATGCTCTCTCTGTTGTCGTAATTCTTACTCCTCTTAACATCGCGGCTACCGTTCTTCCGAATCTGATTCTTACTGTCATGGCCAATGAACGGCAGGAAGATTCTGGTTACTGCTGGTACCCTAAACCCCACACCCTAAACCCTAAACCCTTTGCTTTATGGTATCCTTGAGCCACGCTTCCTGACCAGCGCAGTCGGTGCCAGAGACTCTGTTGGCCCCCTACAACCTGGAACCCTGATGAATTGGCAGGTTTGGGTTTAGGGTTTAGGGTTTAGGGTTTAGGGGTTTAGGGTTTAGGGTTTGGGTTTGTAGGGTTTAGGGTCGAGGGGTTTAGGGTCTAGGGCTTGGGGCTTATAGGGTTTAGGGTTTAGGGGTTTAGGGTTGCATCGCAATCCTGACTTTGCCGGGAGTATACAGGCACATACGCCTGGATTGATGCTACGCAACAAACTTGAGGTGCCAAATAACAGCAGCGCCACAACTAATTACAGCGACGATGAATGAGATTAGAAATGACTACTATTTCTCACAGGAGTCATACGCACAATCCTGAGTTGAAAGAAAGCTCGACGGCTTCTTCCTTCTTCCTTTCAAGGAGACACGTCCCTATAGCTGGTAGCATCCTGCCGTACCATGTAAGGCCCTTTAGACGAACCCGCGAGTCTCTGAACACCTCAGAGATCCCAAGATAAACCCCACATCGTAAGATCCGCAAACTCAACGATGAACTCCTGAAACGATGGTTTAGGGTTTAGGGATCAGGGTTCTACTTTTGGCTCCTGTTTCGAGTGCTTCGGGTCTGCAAAAACCCTAAACCCACACCCCAAAGCCCTGAACCCCAGGCCACCCTAGAACCCCAGGCCACCCTAAACCCCGAAACCCTCAAACCCTGCTCAAGCCCCCAGAAAAGCCCTAAGCCCCAAAAGCCCCGAACCTTGAAACCCCACTGAAGGCCCCCACAATGACGGCCTAAGGTCTCGGCCGCAGGCCCGCGCTGGAAGTCCTGGGAGACTTGCAAAGGCTCCGAACTTGGTTTAGGGTTGAGTCTAAGGTTGAAACCATGGGCCCCTAATATGGGCCCCGAAGTCTGGGATCCTTAAACACTTACTATATACCCTAGATGTACCCTTAACGGTCCCGAGAAAGGCCTAAGGGTCCATATTAGGGGCCCATACTTCTAACCTTAGGTTGCGGGGTGTGATATGGGGGCCTTAATAATGTGAATCGGGTCCCTTAACAAGGGCTCATGCAAGGGTTACGGTAAGGGTAGTATAAGGGTCCTTAATAATTAGAACCGAGTCCCTTAAAAGGGCCCCTTTAAGGGTTACAGGAAGCTAGTATAAGGGTTTAGTATAGTGGCCGTAAAAAATGGAATAGGGTTTGGGGGCACATTCTACAATAAGTATAATAAGGAATCCCCAATATAGTATTGGCAATTACCCCTACATTAGGGTTGAAGGGTGTAGGGTTTAGGGGTTAGGTGCTAGGGGTGTGGATTCTAACGGTTGGGGCGGTTGGGGGTGTGCAGTAGTGTTTAGGGATTGGGGTTTAGAGTTTGGGTGAATGGCCTAAACCCTAAACCCTAAACCCCTCTCATTTAACGCCTCAGTTACTACTAAGCCCCCTGGCCCTAAGATCTGATATTCTGGAGGCCTTCATAATTCGAATAAGGTTTTGGG